GGTTAGACGTTCTACGAAATTCAAAACATCGAAACATTCAGCACAACGAGCTTTCATCCCACCGCCCAAGTTTTCTAAATTCCCAACTCAAGCTTCAAGTTCTCAAAAGATAATATATACGCAGCAAGTTTGCAAAAACAATACTTGGTTCAACCTTGACGACTGCAACAAAAGCTAATATATATAGCTAGCTCTACTAGAGTTCAATCATCCGCAACACGTTTTGCTTCAAAATGCAAGGATAACTCCCACAACAAAAACAGATGCTATATCTCCTAAGGATTTGGATCCTCTCCTGAGCTAATGGAGAGGATCCTCCTGACCCATCATCGTGGGCCGTTGGATTTTTATCCAACGGCTATAATTATTATAACTTTAAAGGAACTCCCCTGTTTATAGCCGTTGGATAAAAATCTAACGGTCCAAGATGATGGGTCAGGAGGATCCTCTCCATTAGCTCAGGAGAGGATCCAAATCCATCTCCTAAGGACAGCATAGCACAAAATAAATTAGCATCCACAGTATAGGGGGGATTCGTATTGGCAGTAAGCCCAGCAAATAAACATGTCCCACAAAGTCAACTGAAGTCAATTATCTCGTTGAAATCTTTGGAAGATCGATTTCAGAGCTCAGTTTACCCAATTGGATCATCCTCCTCGCATATGTGCACCTAATTCACCAAACTGGTCATCGGCTGCTACAGTATCCTCAGAAAGGCGCACTGCGTCCAGCTTCTGTTTCAAGACTTCTATGGCATTGAGAAGTAACTGAGCAGCTTTAATCGCACCGGTAGATTCCACTGTGAATATAAAGCTATCTTCCCTTGCACTGATATCCACAAGCCCAGACTTCCCCATAGCTTCTGCTTTCTTGATCACTTCATCATCATAGGTGTATGCTTCAGGATCAACTACCACGACCTTTCAAAAGTTCAAAGTTCAAAAAGAAAAAAGAATTTTAGAAAGGCCACAAGTTAGCTGATGATACGTAATTGAAGCACTGATAATACAATGGCATCAGGCAAACTTTCATCGACTACTATTTGTTTTTGTTCATTTTATTGGAAATGCATAATTAAGCCTGAGAAAGTTTGTACGGCCATAATACACAACTCAAATGAATTAACCAATGCAGCTGGAATCCAAATCTACAAACATCATCCTTCCATTATATTTGTACCCAGCCATCTGGATATACATAAAAATGTTTCAAACTCACACCAAATAATTGGGCAGGAGCATCAACCAGTTAAATTCGACCTCAACCATAAAATGCACCAAAAATTAAACTGAATCATTCTAAAGATTAAACTGAATCATTCTATGCTAAGTAGTCAAGAACTATCAGTTTGAGATCAAGTGCCCCATTATGTGATGTTGGTTTCATGCTAAAATTCTGTTTCATGACATAATTTCAATATGGCTCCATTCAAGATGATATATCCCAAATAAAACAGCCTTATCCTCTCCGCTCTCTGATTCCAGCTACACTTTGTATAAACCCACAAAACCTATGATGCAGGATAGAGTTGGGCAGCGGAAATTCGATAGTTTAGCGGATGCAAAAACAAAGAAAACTTAAATTAAACAACAATCAAGGATAACTGGAGTTGCTCCAGGGGCATCACACCCGTTCTTGGCCTCTCACCAAGAATTTTGGCATCTCACCAAAATAATCCCATCATAGGATAAGAATTCCAATTTCTGGAAAACAAAACTTTTGCATTCATAAACTCTTCATTCCTTGATGTGAATTACCAAGGGGGTTTTTATAAAGGTTTAAACCAAAAGGAAATAAAAATTATACCTATTGTAGGAAATAAATCTTAAACAAACTGAAAAGAATCATAATCCTCATAAAAGTAGGAAATCAAACGGCTAAAACCCTAGATATTAAAATACTAAAACCCTAGAGAATAAAAGACTAAAACACCCAATTTAGGGAAAGCCTTCACTTTCGTTCCACATTAACCTAGCAACATGAACTAGAACTTCAAAACTAGGAGGGTTCCTCAAATCCAATAACCACCAGTATCTTCATCCAAGAAATCACACGTTTCTGGAAACAGAATATTCGAGTTCCTGGAAGCTAACATTTTAAAGGCAACCTACTACTCATCCCATGATGTAACAACTGACCCGGAATGTCTGCAACCTACTTTAAGCAAAAAAGACTGCAGATGGGCTCATCCTTTGAGCAATCTCCTCGTCTCATGAGTTAAACAGCAACAATATGACATGGAATAACAGATTTCAGCAAATAAACAGTTGATAGCCTGTAATTACTTAGTTAAATATCAAATCCAAATGGTACAAAAGTGAACTAGATTACTCCTGAGAAAGGAAAAAAATGCTATAAAACGGAGTACTATAAGAAGACGTACCAATTAAAAACAGGGTCCAGACCACTGAGAAAAAGAACATAGTGGCTCTATTGAAGAATTGTTAGTACAAATACAACAATTCAATCTTATGGAAACTCTCTACCCTCAAGTTAATTGCTTAAATATTGTTAAACCCTGCTAAATACAATTGAATAATTGTCCATCATGTCCTTCTATCTATCCTGATATATATTTCTTCAGGGGAAAACAAAACATAACTTCTTAAGCTCCCTTGATTACACCTCATAGAGGTTCCCCATCATTTCAATGCAGTACAGCCTATTGAATGATTTTGTTAAATTTAACAGGATATCACGTTTGGTTTCATAAGGTAAAACAGCCAGTCATACATATTATAGGTGACCTGTGACTCATCAAGAGCAAACAATTCGCATTTAGCGCCAGATAATGCACTTACAAAAATAAAAAACCATATATTAAAATTCTGCTCCCATCTTCCATTTCGCTTAAAAAGCACCAAAATTTCTCTGACTACTTAAGTAATACTTCATTATATGTATACTTATAAATAGCACAGCTGGGACAACAAAGAAGCAACTAAATGATGCTTATAAAATAAAAACTACCAATTCGACGAATCAGATAACCAGCAGCATCCCAAATGCTTTAAACCAACAGTCACAAACTCTAACATGCACTGAAACTATCATGTCCATAAAAAAGAATCACGGATGTTAGAATAGCAACCAACCTTGTCGGTTTTAGGATCAATGTCAAAGACTTTGGTAGGACTACTATCAACCCAAGCCTTCTTCTCCTCCAGAGTCAAAGTATCCATCAGCTCCTCATTGATTCGAATGTCGGGTTCATACATGAAAGTGACAGTGGCTGCCGGTGACCACTTAGCATGATCTTTGCCAATCCCCTTTCTGGCAATGGCCCTCAGCCTCAGTTCCTGCCCCCTTCGCAACTTCACAATGATAATTCCCCTAAAATCGCAAAAGCAAAGCAGCCCAATTTCAGATGCACTCAAAAATCAACACACAAATTTCAATTCATTCCAAACAATAACAAGTTTGCGAAACCCAAAAATTGAAAGAGAGAGGGGATGTGCATACTTTTGTTCGGAGGATTCCAAGCCGGCGGAATCAGAGAAATCAACGGGGACGACGGTGTGGTCGGAGCTGAGGAGGTCCTTGCTGGTGACATCTAGGGTTTGGTCGGAGTGGCACTTGGCGCGGAGATGGAACTCGACGGAGCAGAACTCGCACTGGCCGTCGCCGTCGCAGGCGTCGCAGTCACGTGAGAAGCGCATGCTCATGGCGCGGTCGGAGGTGAGGGGGATGAGGCCAAGCCGGTGGGCGATGAACTCGTCGTTGAGGACGGAGGAGTTAATCTCGATCTCGACGAGGTCGATGGCGACGGTGGGGACCTCGGCAATCATGACGCGGCGAAGCGCGTTGGCGACGCTGGCGTCAGTGTCGCGGAGCTCAAACTTCACGTAGTCGTCACGCATTTCGCGGATTTTGACGCGCGGGAGCCTTTGGTACGATTTGCCTTCCATTCTCACTCGTCAGACTGTCCGAGGGAGAGAGAGAAGAGAGAGAGAAGAGAGAGGGGTTTTGGTGCAGAAGACGGAATGAGCGTGGAGGGTTTTGGAAATTTATATGTGGATATTTCGGAAAATTTGAAACAAAATAGTCAAAATTTTGGTTATCACGATTCACACCCCCAATATCAATTGTGTTCTTTAGTATATTGCATAATTACCTTAACAATAAAATTAAAATTTATTAATTAATTTGTGATTAAACCCTACCATCACTCTTGCTTATTCTAAGTTCATTCCGGTTAAAATTCTAATAGTTCTTATATAAAAAAAAAAAACAAGTATTTTTATATGGACAGTGATTTTAAAATTTTAAATCTTCCAACTAAAGTATGAGTCGATTTATTGTAAAGAGAAGTAAAGAACTTGTGAAAAGGAGGTCAAAGGTCCGAAATAACCCATAGCACAAGTCATGTGAGGCATGCGGTTTTTGTTCAAGGTTATTTTGGGCATTTCAACATTGCATTACTACGTTAAGTTCATGGTTAATTTGTCATATCGTCCTAACTCCATTAAGTTCTCCCTAAAAACCATAGAATTTGAAGGAAGTTAGTTGAAAATGTTGTGAACTTTAAGTAATATTTACTCATAATTAGTGTTTTAATTTTGAACATGATCAGGCGATGGACTAAAAATTTTGTTATGATACCAATGAAACGAAAGAGATGACCATGATTGACCAAATTTTTTATATGGACATGATTAACCATGTTGAATAACCAAAGCTTGCAATCAGCCACCAGTCCATGTTAGGGAGTTTAATGTACTTTTATTAGTAATTGACTATAAGCTTTTCAAACCAACACGACATGTTTTTTAACTAGCCAAACTTTAGGGATTTGTCCTAAAGAGAAGTAAACAACTAGTGAAAAGGAGGTCAAAAGTCCAAAATAACCAGATCACAAGTCATGTGTGAGGCACATGACTTATTTTGGATAAAAAACTTAACGGTGTTGGATTGAGATGGCAAATTAATGTTTTCGAAAAATTGATATGACAAATTGTTTAAAACTTTAATTCATTTGACAAATTGAAGTGTTCCTAGACTAGATCAAATGAATTTTTATTAATACAATTGACAAACAGTTGGAAGAGTTTGCCATTTATTACTCCGAATTAAATTCAAATTGACACATTCCATTGGAGTGCCTTTCTCTGAATCTTCAAGTATAAGCAATTGTTATTTGTCCCATGAACTTTATTTCCATGAGACAGACAAAATGATTGTCTATCTCTTGCACACAACTCCTCGACCATCCATCCCGCTTGCACAGCTCACGCTTGGCAACTCCAAATCCTCCAAAGAATTAGCTTCGCTTTCAGAGCCAACATTGCCACCACTAAACCTTGCAGCGGCACAATCAGTGGTTAGAAGGCTTGAAGTTTCAAACTCCTTGTCCCCTCCCATCAGAGGCATGCTCGCGCCGATATTGACCCGGCTGATGTAGTCAGGCCTATATGTTTGTCCCAACACACCACTCACTTGGTCGCTCAAAGAGAAGAACTTAAACCCAAGATCAAGATGTGCAAATGTATCATCTTTGGTAATTCCATAGTTGTGAACCCTTGAGTCTTGTTCAGTTATAGGCACAACCTTGGCTGTGATCCTGAAGCTTCCTTCAACTTCAACCATTACATTGTTGGTCCCACTCACCCTTCCAAGGGACACAGTCGGAACACTTGTGGATTGCCACCTGGCACCTTCGGATTCGGGAAGGGTGATGGGCACGCCATCAAAGGAGAGGGCAAGGCGGTCAGTGGCATCGTCCCATATAGCGGTCTTTTGGGCACCGATGAAGAGTTGGTGTTTGCCAAAAAGAATGGCAATGGAATGGACCCAAGTGAAGTCCCTCTTCATGTTGTGGTTGCGCCTGCCAATGAAGTGAGCGTTGATGTGGAGGTTGGAGTCGGACAAGAGGCAGAAATCATGGTCTTTCTTGCCGTGGAAGTAAAAGGTGATGCCATCTCCACCTATAAAACGGGGGTCTTGGCATACTGCTCCTGGCTGATCACATTCTGCACCATTTGAAAAACGAGAAAGGAAAGTATTTTCAGAACTATATTAAAATTTGTTTCTGGCTACGTAGTTGATCATGCAAAATAAGAAGTGTTATTTTGAAAGCTTAGTGACCACATTAGATGACCATAATACGCGACAGTGGTTACATAACTACAATAAATAATCATGTGTGTCCATATATTAACAAATGATCGATGTAAAGTGGACTGCACTTGTCACATAATTTGATGAGCTTTAATTTAGTCGAAAAATGTTCTCTACTAGCAATGTGCAGATAAGTGTGAGAGGAGACTTACTGCAGACTGGCTTGCAAGTGACACAGTCAACCTCACATCCACCAGAGCAAGCCGTAGGGCATACATGTTGAATGTTGTAACATTGAGGGTAGTTCTTGTTCTTGCACTTGGCCTTCTTTGGTGAAGTAGGAGTTGATGGAGGAGGAGAAGAGGATGTAGATGGAGACGGCGTTGGGGGTGAAGGAGAGGAAGGAGGATTAGATGATGGTGGTGAAGGAGGTGACGGCGAAGATGGGGAAGGGGTAGGAGGAGGGTAATTTGGTGTCGCTTGTCGTGGTGAAGGTGAAGGAGGTGTTGCTTGAGGTGTTGGAGCGGTGGATGGAGGTGTGGGAGTTGTAGTTGGTGGTGTAGGAGTTGTAGTTGGGGGTGTTGGGGTTGTTGGAGTAGGAGGAGATAGTGGTCGAGTTGGGTTAGTTTTTGGTGGAGGAGGCGAATATGTTGGTGGTGTGGGAGTTTTAGTTGGTGGTGTAGGAGTTGTAGTTGGGGGTGTTGGGGTTGATGGAGTAGGAGGAGAAACTGGTGGAGTTGGGTTAGTTTTTAGTGGAGGAGGCGAATAATATGTTGGTGGTGTGGGAGTTATAGTTGGGGTAGTTGGAGGAGATAACGGTGGAGTTGGGCTAGTTGTCGGAGGAGGAGGCGAATAATATGTTGGTGGTGTGGGAGTTTTAGTTGGAGGTGTAGGTGAAGGTGTGGGAGGGGTGGGAGAGGCTGGTGGAGGGCTTGAGCCCCCAGAACAGATGGGCTTACAAGAGACACACTCCACTGTGCATTGATTTGGGCAAAACTTGGGGCATACATGCACCAAATTGTAACAATGCTTATACTTTTTTATCAAACACCTTGCATTGCTTGGATTCTTGGCAATTCCTGGAGGGGTTTTCGCCTCTACCACTGCCGTAATCATCAGCAGGAGAATCGGAACAAGAACTTGCATTTTGTAGTGAGCCATATTGAAGCAAAACCCTGGAATTTGTTTCGAATATTCGAGGGCTTTGGTGCGTTTGAGTGAGAAACCCCGTGCCTCAAGGCCCTATTTATAGGAACAAGAGGACCTTATGCTGTTGCCTAATCTTTCGGATCATAGACTTTTGGTGTAGTCAATGTTCATTGACAAGGCACTTTCACATGGCATCTTAAAAGGTCAAATCCTATTGACTTCAATTCAATAACATGTTTATAATCCTTTTCTGTTGCTTTGCAACTGTAAATGGCATCAAATCTTTTTATTTAAAACAACGATCTATATTTAAAATGGTATTGAACTCGATATTCACGAGATTTAAACCAGAAAACTAAACAAGAAGAATACTTATAGACCGTAGTACTAAATAACTAAAACTTGGATATGAAGGAAAGAGGTAACACTTCAAAAAAATATGCAATCCATATAAGGATTGCAGAAATTTAGGGAGAGAGGCACTTGGATGTTCATCTGTAAAGCTATCCATTAACCTTTACAACCATGCATTTGTGGTTTATGAGCATCTGCATTGCCAGGTTCAGTATTCACTTCTATTTTAAGCAATTAGATGACCGACCCATGCACAATAATTCAGCGTTGAGTAATAATATGATGGTTTTTAAGTTAAGGAAATTTCAAAGTTATATATTAGGAAAAGAAATTAAACTAGGAAGTTTTAACGAAAAACCCTCGGTACTGTTCACTTTAACGAAAAATTTACATTTTTACACTAAAAAGTCAAACCTGGTACTATTCACTTTGCCCTTTATTTTGTCTTTATCGTTAAAATTCAAAGTTTTCAAGCCCTTTTCATTAGTTTTCCTATGAAACTAATGGACATTAATTACTTTGTGAAATGTTAATTACTTTGACAAATGTGTTCAAACTTCAAATACATGCATGCATACATACATACTGCATACACGCTTTTAGTTGTACAGGTACTGCTTAGAAAACTGTAATAGTGAAACTGAGAGGCTAGAAGAATTGCAGGCAGTGGTTGAATAGTTTTATGTACTCATCAACAACAAAGAAACAAAAATATATACAAATACATCAATCCAATCATGCATTCTTCTTCTACGGCATAGTAAACGTGATCCCCCTAAAAAGTGGGATTTGACCTAACTAATATAAGAAAGTAAATATTTTACAGTAATGATAATATATTACAAGGATTCTACAATATATTACAAGGATATTTCTTAATTGTACTCCCTGCCTGCTTTTGTCTTTTTATTCATCATTAAATATTTATTTAATTTTGTGGCTAGAAACAAGATAGAGAGTGCAAGAGGATAAAAAGAGAGATTGAAAATCATTTCTGTTATACATGAGAGAGCCATGCATATATTATGTATTGCCTGAAGGTTCTTTAATTTGCATACAAATAATACCTAAACATGTGTATGTATGTACGTGTGCGCGTTTATCAAATATCATCGATCTACTTATTCGTATGTAATTTGTTTCATGCGCTAACAATTTGATCCTTACATATCCATCATCCTTTTAAAAAGAACCAGTTTTCAGCAGTACAAAATAGTTAACATCCGCTCCTTATTCCTCTTGATGCCATATACTAGGGGCAAGGCATCTCTATATACTAACAACAAGACTAAGGGGAATTGATATTGCATAACATGTTCCATTTCTTTATTCCCTTTAACACCAAGTTTCTATAAGCAGATATATACATCATGATTTAAATATTTTAAAAGGAAAAATGTAGCCCTGGTGCATTAATTAGCTGAAACATATTTTGTGATTAATCTGGGAGCTTGGTTGATAACCACTTCATTTTTAGTTCTTACTTTTCATTGTGTCTTGATATAGATATGAGGAATGTACATGGAGAAATTTAATAGAAGAGAACGTAGAAAAAAGAATCGAGAAACGAAGACCTCCATTTTGATTTTCATTTTGTGTGATCTTCCATGTTTATGTGTTTTACTTCCTTCCCACCACCGTTCTTGCACCTTTGCTCATCCCTTTTTTCTCCATTGTATATCTTGTCTATTTCTACTAAAATTCTAGAAACTAAAAACGAAATATATGGTTATTATTTGAACCCTTAGATGTTGAGATTGGCGATAAACTATAGTAAGAAAATTGCCGATATCTTAGCTTAAAGTAAGCTATGGATGTAGTGCATTAGCAGCCAAGTATATTGGTACTGTTTGGTACGTGGGACGGGACAGGACGGAACGGGACGAGCCGTTCCGTCTCACGTTTGGTGCGCCTAAAAACTGTGGAACGGATTGTCTCATGGGACGAAATTTGGCTGATTTTTCGTTCCACCTCTTCCCCCTGGAACGATCCGTTCCACATCCGTGGAACACAAATTTATAACATTTTATGACAAAATTTCTCCTTATCTTTTTCAATATTTTCATCATCTGTTCCATCCTGTTCCGTTCCGTCCCGTCTGCGTACCAAACGGTACCATACTTACAAGGATAAACATATCATTTGATGAGGATGCGTCTTGTTGGTGCTCCGTCAGCACCAAGCAACCTTGGAGGTAAGCAGTGCACAAAGTAGTTTTCCGGTTGGATGCCATCGAGCTTTAGGCCTTGGACATGAATGATTTCCTGAATAATATATTCCAGCATTTTAATTTGAGTAAATTGTAGCAATTGTCCCTCAACTTTAATCAAATTAGAGCAATGGTCCCTCTACTCATCAAAATGTGTAGTTATGGTCAGTTTGTCAACTTTGTTAGAATTTTGTCAAAATAAGTTATGTTGAAAGGATCAGTGCTACAATTGGGGTCCCTCAACTCATCAAAACGTATGACTATGGTCATTTTCGTCAACTTCGTCAGAATTTTGTCAAAATAAGTTATGTTGGAATGACCATTGCTACAATTGGGTTAAAGTTGATAGACCATTTCTCTAGTTGGATTAAAGTTGAGAGACCAATGATAATGAATTTTTAGTTGAGAGACCATAGTTGTATGTTTTGATGAGTTGAGGGACCAATGATTATGAATTTTTAGTTGATGAACCATTACTTCAATTGATTTAAAATTAAGAGATCATTGCTACAATTTTCTATTTTAATTATAATTTGGAAGGTTGGTACTAAGTACTATCCAACGCATTCAGATTTTTTATGAAGATATATCAAATCAAAATTATCACATACCCTGCCTTTGAGAAAAGCAACGTGCTGAGCTGGAATAGCTTTCGTCATAAGCAAGGAAGAAAATATCGGTGATATAATCGGTAGTCTGAAAACACGGAAATATCGATGGAAATATTGGTAAAATATCGATATCGATAAAAATTACATGGAAACCACGGAAATTGTAAGAAAAACTTGGAAATTTGTATTGAAACTTTGTAGGATGTTTATTTAGTCAATTATCTATTAGTTTATCACAAAAATTGGAAGGAAATGCATTGCATGATGGATTTAACATTATCAAGTTGATTATATAGCGATCTGACAAACATTATGAGTGTAGAAAATATGTAGTAATTAATGAAAGAAGTCTAAACACACCATAATCATTTATATATAATGAATTAGTACAATATTTTACACTTTAGTACCACATAGAGTTCCTATGAGGTTCAAATTTGTCACTATCTTCATCATCTCTATGTGTAGAATGAGTGTATTGTGAAGAGTAGTTATCAAATGATAAATCCCCAAAATAGTTTTGCATGTAATTGTTAATATGCCACCCATATGGATCCGAGATTGGTTGAGGTTGTCCATAAGAAAAATCATTTGAAGATTGAGGCTGGGATTGATTCCATGAGTCGCTCGATTCCATCCCAACAGGAATGGGATATGAAGGGTAGGGAAATGGTTGGTTATGAGTATAACCATAGTTACTACTTCCCAATCCAAAAGAGTCTGAAGTTCTAGATAACGAGTCATCTTCTTGACTTGACAAAATCCCTTTGCCTCTTTCTCTGCGAGTATAGTCCTTCCCTATGGCACCAATTCCTAGTCCTGCCCGCCTACTGCCATGGTCATCATCTTGTGTTGCATGCGTGAAGTTTGCCTCACCAGTGAAGGGGCTCATATATCCGGGAGGTGGTGGTCCATAATAGTTTCCATATCCACCACCACTACCTCCAGCTCCACTACCTCCAGCTCCACTATTTCCTTCATCATTCCCACCTCCGGTGGTATGTGAGTCTCCTGATCTTGTACTAGAGCTATCATTAGTATCAGCACGATGTTGTGGTTGTGTAGGATTGGAAAAAGGTGGAATTCCAGTGTTGCTTGGCATTGGGTGCAAAAGTTCTTCGAAAGAGTCAGCGCTGCTAGATCCCACCTCCTCCTCTAATACTCTTTCTACATTTATCCCTTCATTACGTGCTTCTTCAGCAACTCTGGGAGCTGGGTTGCCTTCATCATCATCTAAATGAAGAGGTCTAATCCATTGAAAAAGTTGGTTACCCTCCGTATCATCATCTTCACCAACAATATCAAACACATCTAGTGGGTCACCACGGTCGACATGATCGATTTCTGCTTCCTTATCTCGAATTTGAAGCTTCATGTTGTAGTAGCAATAAACTAATTTTTCCAAGCTACTATGAGCCAACTTATTTCTTTGCTTTGTATGGATGAGTGCAAATGTGCTCCAATTTCTTTCACAAGCTGATGAGGAAGCTGTTTGTGATAATACTTTTATTGCTAACTTTCTCACAGTTGGTGCATCGGTCCCATACATGATCCACCATTCAGCTACAATGAAAAATAATGTTGATAAGCCTAATAACTCCAACAAATTCTATTATAAACTTATAGTGAAATATGTTTATACTCACTAGGAGACATATTTGTTCGAGCAGCAACTGATGTTGGTTCTCCAAATGTTCTTCTTGCATCTTTAAACCATGTTAGCTGAATACAATAAATTGTGTTAGTTTAATCCAACAAAGTAATTATTATAATTTAAGTAATTGTGTACCTCATTTCCAAATTGGCCAACTGCTGGTGATGCAGGGTCTAATTTAGAGTATACATTATGTACAGCACGTATAAGGGTACCATCATCTCCAACACCGGGTCT